AAAAAAAACAACCCAGACCATAAACTAATGTCCTGTGTTATCAACTGGGATACTCTGCAAACTCTCTCAGAAAATGAAAAGAACTAAAAGAATGAATACTAAAGGAAGAGCAGGAAAATATCAAACAAGGAAAGTGAGAGTGATTTGGAAAGCGGGAAGGTGTAGAATTCCTGCAGCAGCCCTGTTACGTCTGTCTGATGGGACGAAAACAATATTCAATATCTGTATTTTGAGAAATTAAACAAAGCCAGGGTGTTAACCACGAAAAATCACTTTCAAATCAACACTCAAATGACAAGAGAAAATATCAAAGGTGACTGTCAGCCATGAAGCTTTCTGAAAGATGTACCATGCAGGTATAACAATCACTCTTGGACATCAAGGAGCTGCGTTACATGTACAAAGATAAAAACATAAGAAAAGACGCCCCAAAAGACAAGCACATCGATGTAAACGGATGATGGAAAATCATCAATCGCTGTATCAAACATTACACCATTTGTGAGGAGCATTGTTACATTTTATGTGGTGAGCCCTTCCCTCCCCATTCACAGTTTCTTTTATAATATACAAAAACTGAGAGTTTGGGAATTAAAACATAGGTACATTTCTCATACTATGTTCTACATTAAGAAATTGTACTCAAAATGCGTTGCATAAAATTATTAAAGGCCCTGATATCTACATATGCACCAACCAAATATGGCCCACTTTAACTGTCATATTTAATATCTAGCACCGATGAATAGGATAAAATTATTCCTCTGTAAGGAGAGAACGCTTTAACAATTAATCTAATGCACTTAGACCATTACATCGATGTGATAAGTTAATGTAAGCTCTCAAATTAAAGCCAATTTATACACCCCCCCCCAAAAAACCTTCAGAATGCTGGTTTTAAACTGGGTAAAAACCATCTGAACAAATAATAAGTCAACCCTTCTATTACAGAAAAGGTACAAGTTGAAAAGAAAAGGGCTTTAAAACTGTGTGGTTTTCTCTGGAGCGACATGCTATAGTGTTCATTGGCAGTTTACAAAGTTTTGTAGGAACGCTACAAATGCATACATTAGATACATCTCTCATAATAAACTGCAAGATTAGATATATTTCTGCAATGCTAAAATATCTATGTGACGTTGGCTTGCATAAATGACTTTCACAATTTAGAAAAGGCCATGAGCATTGAAGTCATAACATGATTATCTCATTACTTCCAGAAGTTGTTTTAATTACTATTTTTCATAACCCTGAGATTGAAACCTTGCATTAATAATTTTCGGTTGGATCAGTCTTGCGTTTTGAGATGAAATAATTGCCTAGACACTTAGAAAAGCAACCAAGCAAATCATTTTTTTTTTCTATTTAGCACAAACAATTATAGCAAATTTAAACTTTTGAAGAACTGTAAAGGTTTTGTAAAGCTTATCTGCACTGCAATGCATACATCCAACATGCAGTTATTAGTGTTCTTTTGGTTATTGTATAAAATCTATATGCATTTCATCTTTTACAAAAATAAAAGATTACATAGAAAATGACCGTTAAAAATGATCTCAAATAGCTTCTACTCAGATTTTAAAAAAGCTCATTAACAGCATGTTTTTTTATTAGTCTGTTAATGACAACGCCCCAATCTAAATTAGAATTATAGTCGATATATGCAACTGTTTTTGTTCTTTAATAATAAATTTTATAAAATATGAGTAGTGCTGTTTATGAAAAACTGAACAATGAGAAAATAGTTTTTCTTCTGTGCGTCTGTGGACACAATTAAACATGCCAGAGGAACCATAACATCTCATTACTGTAGCCATGTTTCTTCAAGATTAGCTTCAAACTCACGTATAACTCAGAAAACAAACTTTCTTCTGCGCTTAAATGAAATTATTCAGTGTAACCTTGAATTCTGTTGTTAGTGTGTTGGAATCAAGTTTCGGGAGCATTAAACATATTTGAACGCACACAAATGTACACACACACCCTCCTGCACACACACACACAAAATCTTCAGATATTGTATTCTGCAAAAGGGCTCCAAGTTTCCAACAATAACACTATACCATTTAACTTGTTGGCAGGATTAAAAATGCATTAAAATGCCCTGTGGAAAATCACATTTCTTCATACTGTTGTTATCATTAAACACTTAAGAGCAGACAGTTAAATCATCATTCAGTTATCAGCCTCTTCAGCACATCAAAAGAAAACGCCTTTGTGAGAGGTCATAAAAGCCAAACTAATTGCACATTGAACACCACAGCGTCACCAAACCACCTTGAAACTTTGATGCTTCATTCCGATGAGAGAGAGAGAGCACACCTTAACAGTTCAGCTGCGGTCAGTGAAACCGTCGCCACTCAATGTTCTCAACTTAACATTCCTGTGGTGCCTTGTTGTTTTCATGCTGAGAGCAACAGCAACGTCAGGTCAGCTGTGGAAGCCACTCCATCAATCTCAGCTGCTCTGACTTCTCCAAAGCTGTTCAACAAACAAGTTCACATCAAGAAAAGCTGCAGAGTTTGATCCTCCTGGCCAAATGAGTTCCATTATCAGGGGGAAGAAGATCAAGGAGGAGTACCATCTCCATCTTACACTACGCATCATAGGCAAATAATGTAATAAACATGATTAGCTGTTTATTAGGTGTGCTTTAGTCCAAGATTGCCCCAAAAAAACGGCAAATTTCAAAACTAAAATGTTGCACATATAAGACAAAAGAAGAGAAAAAAAAATATGTTTCAAGACCATGTTCTCTGTGTCCAACAGCACACTCTTCAGTTGACATTGGCACTTGGGACATGTATGAGGTTTGATTTTGTCATTTAATTGAAAATTCTGACATGAGACTTCTAGGCCAAGCACGTGTTGTCCTTAGCCAAAGAAGTTTATGTATTTGAGGTACAATGGCAAATGCAGAGGCAAAAATTTGAGAATATGTTCAGGCAATATGCCACATCTGTTTTCAAAGTTGTTTTAAGAATGGGGAACAATCCTGTTAAAAAAAAAAATAATAATAACGAGAAAAGGAGATTAACACATTAGGACACACAGCTTTACATAAAGAATAATGCAAAACCGTAATTGAAATTAAAGAAATAGTTCATTAAAACAAAAAAACAATCATTTACTCATCCTCATGTTGTTTCAAACCTGTATGACATACTTTCTTCTGCAGAACACAAGCACGTTTGAAGAATGTTTCAACCATTTTTGCCCTTAAAATGAAAGTCAACATTGGATCCCACTGATGTTCACTGACAGATCATCTTACAATGTCTTCTTTTGTGTTCTCATGAAGATAAGATGGGTTTGGAACAATATGAGGGTGAATAAATGTCATGTTTTTGTGTGAACTATCCTTTTCAAACAAACCCAAATTCAGATACCTGTTCTCATCTTTAATAATGGAGTTAGCTGGGCACCCAGTTGTGGGAGGAGCTCTGTGTGGTTGCT